GATTAGTGAATTTGATCCTTTTCTTGGTATTCACATAATATAAAGCTGCGGAAATCGTGGAAAAGGAATAACATCATATTTATCGGCTAATGTTTGTAATGTAGGTATTTATTAATTTAATGGGACAACAAGTTTTGAAAGCCATCGTCAAAGAACTTAAATCAGCCAAGTACTACTTTATTAGCTTAGATTCTAGAAAAATGTACATAATTGTACAAGCAGGGTCGGAGAAAGGTCCTGTGCCGAACTCATTATTAGTATTTAGCACTTAATCAAAAATGGCTGATTATCACCATGATATGAATGCTGCCAACTTCAATAAGTGGTTAGAAGAAAAGCTCCTACCCAATTTAAAAGAGCCAAGTGTAATTGTTATGGACAACGCTAGTTACCATTCCGTTATAGTAAATAAAGCCCCTACGACACAGAATCGCAAACATGAGATAAGAGAATGGCTTACTTTGAAAAATGTTCAATTTGAGGAGTACCATACGAAAGCAGAACCGCTATGTCTAGTAAAACGGTATAAACCAGAGCCAATATATGAAGCCGATGAAATTTTAAAGTACAATGGTCATGAGGTATTGAGACTACCTCCATACAATTGTGATCTAAATGCCATTGAGCTGCCATAGAGTCTGGCAAAACGCAGAGTAGCAAATAAAAATATGAAATAGACTACAGAGCAGTTAGAATAAGTGATTAAAGAGTCATTTGAAAATGTAACAGCAGAAGAGTGGAAGAAAATGACTGATCATGTTATAAATTCAAATTCAAAAATCATTTAATCATATGGGTAACACATTGTTCACTTATGACTTGTCAGTAAAGAAATACATAATATTAATGCTTCTAATTTTACATTTAGTGCCAGTTCTCAAATCAAGGGCGTAGAACGGAAGAGAAGAACTGGCAATAAACTCTCCGCCACTCTTTTTAATCGCCTAGTTTTTTTTTTTACACAACGTTTGTAAGGAGCTGCAACCATTAAACCATGTTCCACATGACATCTTAAGTAATTAATAATAATAACATAAATTAAAAACAAAGAGTTGTCCTCTATCAGCATGCAGGCATGGTGAAATAGGAGCACGCACTTACATTCTCGTGACAAACACATAGTCGAAATAATTAAAGCACAATTCGACTTAGGGTCCTTCAAGAAAAGAGCGTACCAATTCTTAAAAGGCTGGCAACGCACTCGCAAGCCCTCTGGCATTGAGAGTGTCCATGGGCGGCGGTGTCACTTAACATCAGGTGAGCCTCCTGCCCGTTTGCCCCCCGTTCTATAAAAAAAAAAAAAATTAACATCACCGCATACACGAATTCAACTACGACCAGTATACGAGTACATGTGGAAAATAAATATAAAGAAAGGGACAGGACTACAGAGGAACATTTAGAAAGTTTCATAATCAATGTGAGAGACAGTGATAACATCAATGACTCTGATGAATATATGCATATTGATTTTTTGGATTCTGATTTTGATTATTCCGAATAAAGTTGTGTTTTATAATAAATATAGTTTTAGTTTTCCATGCAATGCTAGTCATTTTAAGTATCAATAGTAAAAGACTACATACGTATAGTATTTAATTTCATAGAAATACAGTTACTATCAATGTAAAAAATAATAAAATAAAATAAGTATTTTAGTTTAAGTTTTTAAGTTTAATCCACAAAATATATCAAACTTTTAGGGATACCATATTTTTTTATTTATTTGCCGCGTTCTTTCATTACCCAGACTCATAAATATTACCTAAAATAGCGAATGAAGATTGCAACACCTCGACTTTACTAATAACTAGCTAAAAAACCCGGCTTCGCCCAGGAGTAGATATGAGATGACGTGGTAGAGTCGAAATAAAAAAATAAACTATGACGTAAAAAGTAAAAAAAAAGTTTATTGAAAACGTTTTCTCATTATTTACAATACTTGTTTATAAACAAAATTTTTCATTTTATTGTCCGGAGTATATATACATAAATTTTTCGGATTTCCTACTCTTGAGCAAGCTACATATAGCTGACCGTGAGAGAAGCAGGATTCTTTGAGGTTAATGCCACAATATTTTAAAGTTTGTCCTTGCGCTTTGTTAATTGTAAAACTAAAGGCTAATTTTATTGGAAACTGCAGTCTTTTAAATTGAAATGGCAATTCCGAAGAGATCAGAGGTATTCTAGGTATAAATACTGTCTGTCCTTTGGTCTTTCCAGAAATAAGTTCAGCTTCAATGATATTATTCGATAGCTGTTTTACGATCATTCTAGTTCCATTACATAATTTTGGGGAGTTGAGATTTCTGAGTAGTATGATTGGAGTTCCAATTTTCAGACGAAGGCAGTGTAATGGCATTCCTGGTACTTGTAAAGAGTTTAGAAATTCAGTGGGGAAGTTGACACTTTCTTCAATGGATACCATCGTGTCGATCGATTTATATATTTTCTCTTCACCAGGTATTTTCTTTAGAATATTAAAATTGATATCGTCAACAATATTATTTTTAGTGGCCAAAATTGCTCTTTGAAATAACCACTTTTTTTAATGTTTTGAGAACTAATTTGGATAACTAAAATTATGTCGCTTTAACTCCAAAATATAAGTTAGCTAATGACGTATAAATACACAAAATTTAATAACTTTATTATAGCAACAAATTAAATTTAAGACTATTGAAATTGGAATTTTAAATTTCGTGTCACTACTACACATGCTACAATTGCTCGCAACGCTTTTGGAAATGCAACCCAAACAATCGTTGTCCTGAATGAAGTTCAAATATTCGATAACAGATGGCGCCACTATACTTAATTTCCAAGTTGTAGGGTTGGAAAGTTCCTTATATCTTTAGAAACACGCCCTTTAGATTAAAACGGGAACTTTCTAGCTTCTGTAGTGGTAGCGTATGTAGTAAAGGCGCGAAATTTTTAAATATTTTGAGAACTAATTTGGATAACTAAAATTATGTCGCTTTAACTCCAAAATATAAGTTAGCTAATGACGTATAAATACACAAAATTTAATAACTTTTTTATAGCAACAAATTAAATTTAAGACTTTATTGAAATTGGAATTTTAAATTTCGTGTCACTACTACACATGCTACAATTGCTCGCAACGCTTTTGGAAATGCAACCCAAACAATCGTTGTCCTGAATGAAGTTCAAATATTCGATAACAGATGGCGCCACTATACTTAATTTCCAAGTTGTAGGGTTGGAAAGTACCTTATATCTTTAGAAACACGCCCTTTAGATTAAAACGGGAACTTTCTAGCTTCTGTAGCGGTAGTGTATGTAGTAAAGGCGCGAAATTTAAAAACCTAAATTTTTAAATATTTTGAGAACTAATTTGGATAACTCAAATTATGTCGCTTTAACTCCAAAATATACGTTAAATAATGACGTATAAATACACAAAATTTAACAACTTTATTATAGTAACAAATGAAATTTAAGATTTTATTGAAATTGGAATTTTAAATTTCGCGCCACTACTACACATGCTGCAATGGCTCACAACTATGGAGACTATACACTATGACTATTGGAGTGTATAGTTTCCATAGTTGTCTTGAACGAAGTTCAAATATTCGATAACAGATGGCGTCACTGCACTTAATTTCCAAGTTGAAGGGTCGGAAAGTCCCTTATATCTTTAAAAACATGCCCTTAAGATTAAAACGGGAACTTTCTTGTTCGAGGGGGGATAAAGGGCTATCACACCACATCAGTCCCTTTATCGTGTCGGGACTCCTTTTTATGTTTTATCGGCACGCACATTTTATCGACTTAGTTTTATTATATATATATATAATATAGATAATATAGATATAGATATAGATTATAAAGTACCTTTATTTTCTTTATAGTCTTCGGGGCCATCGTAAAATTTTCCAGCAGTTAACTTAAATTTTCTGAATTCTTTGCCAGGATGCCACTGTATAACCATTTTGATTTTCATGAGTCTCCTATAAACTAGAAATATTAAATCAGTCAATCTACTAAAACAGCTGGCGTCAGCAATCAATTTGAAATTCCCATACACATGAATATTTCACAAATCAAATTTTATATTTACACTTGCCATCTAGGAACTTTTCTTCAAAAAACACTTCATTGTATGCAACGTATTGTTTTCAAATATATCTATTTCATGTAGTGTACACGCGAACTTAGTCTAATACAAACTTCATCTATTGTAGAAGGGGCTTATAATTTCATCATAAAGAAAATGCAAAAAAAGGGTGCGTGTAGTTATGTACGCGCGTAAGAAGTTATATTTTTTTGGCATTATTAAAAATAGGTTTTGATTGCATGCAAATAATTAATTACAATTAAATAATCAAAGACTGGCAAAGGAGTCATTATAGTCAATAAAGTTCAGTTTACATTTGAAAAATTAAATAAATAAATATTTATTATTATTCTCTTACATTAATTGTAACATAAATTGTATTATTATTCGAATGTTGTTTTTAAATTATGTCCAATGCCGTAGCATCTTCCGTGGGCAACTTCATTCTGTTAATTTGGTGTCACGGTGCGCGCGCATCGTTAAATTTCACTCTCATCAACTTTTCATAACGCGTCTAAAGAAGTATAACTTAAAAAAGTTAATAATTATTGTTACCTGAGCCAAGTACCCGATTAGTTAAAAAAATCTAAAAAAACAAAATATATACAGTATTAATTTTTATATGAATAAGTATTATTACTTTACTCTGTGGCCTTATGGCTTTGAGGCTTGAGCATAGGTATTGATTTTTGCTGACTGAGTTCTATTGCCAACCTAGTCTATGATCTACCGTTCAATTCCCTTCTTCCATGTTCCATATAAATTTGTGGTCTGTGTTGTGTAGAGTCTCGCAATGGACGAGAAATTATATCGTGTTTTAAATTTTCGTGCTATAAAATGAATAAAATGTCCGAAGACATAGTTATAAAGACCTTGTTATGTTCAGTAAATAATATATGTGTTTTTTAATTTGTTAATGATGAGGTTTCATAGACGTTGTGGGGATAGAGTTAGTCTTTTACACGACAATACAACTGCCGTAAGAAATTTTGTTGAATTTAATCACGGGTTAATTCTTAGTGCAGATCCACTCACCGATGATGTTATATTTGAAGTTTGCATAGATAGAAAGGTGAGTTTTTTTATAAGTCTTAGAGGCAATTAATAGTTGCATAAAAATGAAGCTTACGTTCCCGGTCAATGGTGGCTTCCTATTAGATTTTGTTAAACTTTAACCTGTGAAATTTTTAAATTTAACCCTTTTGCTAGTAAAATCAACTTTATTATTAACAATCAATAACCATTTTAATATGTGTTGTCTTTGCAACTTCGTAATATTTTCAATTTCCTTTTTTCAAATAGGATTTAGATTGTTTATATGAGAATATGATGTCAAACCTGAAAATTATATATTTCTATGTGGGCATAACTGCAATAATTATCTGAGAATTGCCACAACAAAATTATTTTTGATGATTTTTATTATTAATAATAAAAAAATCCCTCCAGCGCAACAGAGTGTTGCACCAAAGTCTTACTTGCAAGTACATAAAATTTTTATCAGTATGAATGCGTCTTAAATAATTCGTGTTTGCTTTAAATTGAAATCACAAACTGGCCTCAAAAGAGTCAGCAATTGTGGATGATAATGGCTATGTTACTGCAGTTCTGCTTTTAAGTATTCATTAATAGGATAAATTTATAGATCTAAATAAGTTTTTATTTTCTATTATGAATTACACTCACTGTAAGCTGTACTAATTGAATTTTTCACAAACTGAATTCGATATTTGCATGCAAATTTAATGTGGCTGTTCATCCATCATAATATGTACCACTTTCATGGATTTATTTCTTTAACTTTTTGCAACTACATTTTATATTTTCTTATGGGATTATAATAATAGTTTATTTGCTTATGTATACACAGCTTTGTATGCCATTTTCTTATGTATACCAGGTCAGACGGTGTTCTTAAATAAACATGAACACTAATTATGCCATTTAATATCTTCTCCAAATACATATTTAAAATATGGGCATAAACACATGACGATCCAAGATCAAACTAAATAAAGGTGTTCATGACTAAGTTGTTCCAAAAAATATCAATCAAATACAGATATTTTAAGATTTACACAAAAAGCACAGCAAGATTTGTTGAAAGTGTAAAGTTCATATAAAAAATTATGAAACATGTGTTATACAAATTGTATACAGGAGAATCCTAAATCTTTACAACTAGCAATATCAAATTTACCATAAACATTTAAACCTTGGCTACTGTGTTTGGTTGGAACCTTTGCTTGTACTGTACTTGTACTCAAAAATCTAGTCAGTTTGTTCATGTTTACTTTATAAAGCATATATAATATATATATATACACACACACATATGTGTGCTTTAAATTATACATCAGTTTGATTGTTGTAAAGGTATTTTGCCATTTCTAAAAGATTCCTTCCATATTCTGAGAATTTCATGTAGATGTTATTTATAATAGTATATAACTGTCACTTGCATAGTCCTAAGTTTTTGTGAGAAATAAATAAATAAATAAATAAATAAATTTCATGTAGAGGTTTATGTATTTCAATATTGAAATTGTGTAGTTATAATAAAAGTGCCTTATGTGTGCCTTATTTTATGTGTACATATGTATGTGTTTGTTTATCTCGAGGCCTTTCTTAGATATATCTTTAATTGTTAAAATTCCTAATTTTTACAGTTTGTTATTGGCTAGTTATACTTTTAGAAAGCATTTCTTCATATTGAATACTAAAAAATATATTTTCTTATAAGACATGACTTACTTACAAGTCTCTAAATACACTAACAAGATATGTGATAGTTTATTTAATACTGATTCTTTGCATTTGAAACAAAATCTCCTTAACATTTTAAAGGAGTTTTATTTCACTATAGATTTAAAATGATGCTAATGCTAAAAATACAGTAAAAAATATATTGTATTATGTAAGAATAGAAAATATAATACATAATTTTATTTATATTCCCTAAACAATTTCAAAATATAGATTTTAATTTAATAATTTTAAATGGTAGTAATATAAGTATTTTTTCCCTTAAATGAATCTAATACATTTAAAAGTGGAATATGTATTTGTTTTCCTGGTAAATAATTCCCGTTTCGCCTCATTGATTAGTTAGGAGTTAAGACGTTTTGATGCTTTATCAGGATGCAAGCGGCGTCGCGCATGTCAAATGCATTCAAAAATACATTAATCAATAATGACGCGCAGTTATATTGAATCGACTTCGTTCAGGTAAACATCTGGAATGGGAGCCTTGAAATCGGAGTCACCACCCTGGACCCTGAGTATATGGAGTTGCCTGCCACGGCAACTAAGCTTCGCAATACGGCCTGGGTACGTGTAATTTATATCCTATAGCTGCAGAAGAACTAGTAACCATTGTTTTCAATGATCATGTCTTTGCTTAAGATTATGTCGGGAAGTTCTGTGGTAAAGGATGGAGTAACACTGATACACTCATATGGTCCTAAGTTGGATAGTCTTCACGAAGGCGACTGCTTAGGTGTTATGAGAACCAGTAAGGTATGTGCTCCGTTATTTATAATTGGTGTACGTTATTTTTATTTCGAATACTCAACAACTCCCAACATCTCAATCCATGAATTCTTTTAACCAATATTTGAAAAGCTTTGTAATCCTAAAGGCGTTTAATATTCATTTCTGTGCAAATAAAGTCTAAGATAATTGGTTTATTTTAATTATTATGAGTTTTTCTCAGGATGAATTAATGTTCTATGTTAATGGAAGATGTCTGGGTATAGCGGCGACTGAGATGCCCCCACGACTCTTTGCAGTTATCGATTTGTATGGCCAGTGCGTACAAGTTTCAATAATGCATACAAACTGCATGCGAACTATCATGGAGAATAGTTTAGATCAGGTAATTGAATGAATAGCGTTGCAGCAGAATTAACATAATGATTTATCGGTCTTCTTGCTGGTTCGCCTCGGTAGAACCGATCCCATACATTCAATGTAATGATTCTAAAGCTATTTGTATAAAAGATAACTAAATTTGACTTGAATAGCAAAGTTTCAGCATTTTTGTTCCTTAGCAAAGGGATTTACTATTCTCATACGGTCTATTTATAATATACTTGAACATATATCATTTAGATTGAAGAAGATCCCAACAATGACGATTCGATAATGAGTGAATCGGAAGTGATGCCTGAGACTTTACAAGATATGCCGTGTTCGGATGTCTTCGTACCAATGACTACGGAAGGCGCATGTGCTTTAGGTATTTCTCATACTGATTTCATTTCTGATGATTACGTATATAACTCATTAATAAGTAGGTCTTTTTCCTAATAAAACGCTAATATCAAAATATCTTCAAAACTATATATACATGCGTGTATGATAATAATTAATTAAAATGTTAATATCAATTGGCACATCTTAAAATTACCTATCTTAAAAAAACATTATTTTAAATAAATTTAAAAGAAAATCAGCCGGTATCGGAGATCAGGAATTATATTGAAATTAGGGTTTAGTCATAAGAAAAGAAAAAGTTCTTTAGTGTTAATACAGTTAATAAACTATATTAATTTTACAGTGGCCAGAGACCGACTTCGGTTTCATCCCAGATGTGGTATCTTGGTCAAACTGTCGAATAATAACAAGTAAGTTAAGTTTTTATCGTAGCTCTTAGATAGAAACACAATGGCAAATGGTTTTTATTTTGGTAGTAGGGTAATTTATCTACATAGCGATTAAATTGTAGGTCTGCCGAGCGCTCCCGTCCCTTAGACGACTACAATAACGGAGTCGTAATGACTCACAGACCGCTCTACGACAACGAGCTCTTTGAGATTCGAATAGACCGCCTCGTTGACAAGTGGAGCGGCAGTATAGAGGTCGGTTATAACCTGATTACTGTAAGCTGCTTATCAACAATAAAAGGAACTTAATGGATTAAAACATGTCATGTAATGTAACTGAAGAAAGATTCTTTTTCTCTCAATGCTTGCCAATAAACCTGTAGTGAACTTACATTTTGCGCATCAATGGCTATAGTGAAAAATTATGAATTGAATATATATCACGCAATGACCCCAATCGCTGAATTAATGTTGAGATATTCATGCTTTTAATTTATATATTCAAATGAATTTGTTAAACTGTAGTCCAAAGCGAAATCTTGGAAATTGTTAATTAATTTAAACGCTAAAGATCATCAATTGATCCGTTTCACTATTTAGCTACCAACGTTAATCATTTGATATATTAATAACCCAGGTCGGCGTTACAACCCACAATCCAGCGACAATTCGGTTTCCGTCGACCATGACAAACATGGATTGTGGAACCATCATGATGTCTGGTTGTAAGGTCCTGATCAACGGACAAGGCACTTGTGTCGAATATGGCAACTTTAATTTGGATGAACTTCGAGTGAGTTATTGTAATGGTTGTTTTTCGTCTAGAATTTCACAATAAATAATTGTGATACTTGAACATTAATTAATAAAAAAATTCGGTCCACTATAATGTGCTATATAATATTAATTATGCTTGAGAATAAATATGACACAATAATTGATAGATGTGTGATAGTTTCACAGGAGTTGTGTAGCATGTTATTGTCGCCCGCGCTAAGTGTCGAGGTGCAGAGGTCTTTAGAAGTTGACTTTGCTACATTCATGTTTATTTAAACAAGTATAAACTAAAATAACATTTTGGTATCGGTTCGATGTCGTAGTTTTTAGATTATATTAAATATTTTTGTAAGGCATTTTTTTCATATAACTACTGGTTAAAATTGGAATTACCTAATTTAGTATTCTTTTTTAACAGTTTAATATTGTTATGTAGATAACGATGGCCTCCTCCAAAGTTTGGTATTTCTTTATTGTGCATTCACTCACTGTGTTTTTATTTAAATGATTTTTGAATAAATATAATTGAATATATTGTGAAGAAAGAACGTAAAGGACTGGAAGTAAAGCGAGTGTGGGTCGGCCCACTGCACGCCATCCATGGGGAGTCACATGGACGGTGTGACATTGAGCTGTCCCATACATCGCTCGAGCAACACGGTAAGACTTGAGACAACATGCTAATGAAAATTGAAAAAATATGCTAATTGTTGTTAAATATTTAAAAACTCCGTCCGTTGTTTTAAAGTCTTTTGTATTGTTTGTTTCGTTCTCCTCTCTTCCTAATTTCCAATTAAAATGTGCAAAGCAATGCAGCCAGTATTATTATATCAGATATTATATGTCCAGGAAGGAGACACTATTGGTATGATGCGCAATTCTGCTGGTAAATTGCACTACTTCATAAACAGCATCGATCAGGGAGTTGCGGCAGACAAGGTGGACCAACAAGTTTGGGGCGTTATCGACCTCTATGGCATGACTGTCAAGGTATGTTGACATAATATATTTCTTTGCCTGTATGCTATAACGTTGGCATATTATTAGCGATTACGTTATTTTCTTCTAGGTATCAATAGTTGATGCGTGTGAGGATCTTTGTGAGATGGACACGAATGTCATGAACCAGCCAAGCGTCTCCAACGTCCCTAACCTACCGTCGCCTGTACCTGCGAACACCAGTAAGTGTTTATTTGACACTATCCAAACACTGATTTCATAAATAATATTCGTGTTTATTTATTTAATAAAAATTAGCCTTGTACGTGACGGCCGAAATTAAGTTCTTCTATGAACGGTCTCTTCCCCTATGTTTTTGGATGTTTTGTTATCCAGGTTTCTTTTTTAAAAAAGATTTTTTTTTGGCAGGCAGATACAGGCCTCAAATAGACGAAGACAGTCTTTTATTTCATTCGCTGCGTGATTCGTATGTTATTATTATTAACGATGGTAAGACTGCTCATCGGCCTAAGTGAGTATTATTTTGATTTCTATTATTATTGAGAAAATTCCCAATTTTCCAGTAACTAAAATTGGATCAAACGGACTTTAAATAAACAGAACTAGTTGTTGTTTGATTGAAATTTGTTTATTATTATGAATTAAAATGTGGAAGTGTTCTGAAACTAATTTGCAAAATCTTACTTTTATAAATTATTGCGAAAAGTGTTATTAAATTAACCCCGATTTTCGAATTGGAGAAAAAAAGATACAAGCAACTCAAGTGTGTACTCATCCGATTTGATAATTGCTCAACATGGAGTTTTTTGTCGAGTATAGAACCCTGATGATGACCGACTAACCAATTCGATCAACCGGACTAGAGAGGCATTGTAACAATGCTGCATATTCATAATAAACCACTATGTATAAGACACAAAATTCGACAGCTGTGTATACAGAAGGCTGATCACATTGCATATACAGAAAACATTAAGAATCAAAAATCTGAGCCCAAGACCTTCATCTTGTTTGAGATTTTCAGCACCGCTGTACTGTTTTTGAATATAAAAATAAAAATATACAAATTTTAATAAATAATCTAATTTTAGTATACATTTGAGTATGTCTGTTGCCCCTGAAACAAAAATTTTCATGCAAACATCTTTCTGGTACAAGAAGTTATATGTTTACCAAAAATGTTTGTCGACGTAAAAAGCCAATCACATGCTTATTAATAGGATTAGTACCGGTGGAATTGAATTGTATTTGTGTACGATACGACCTGTCCTGGCTTCTCACACTAACCCTTCGTTTGTTTGGCAGAATGTTAAATAATAAAAAAAACCTTGAAATCCACATCTAGTACATACAATATACAAAAAGATAGACAAATACTTATTCTAAGATGCGCTCGCCGTCCGGGAGAACGCCTCCTCTAACTTTTATCTCTTGCTGTCAGCATCCTATCTCGCCAGCCTATTGCTCTTTTGGTCTGTCCTTGCTTAATCTTTCACCTGTAAAACTACGTGCTGTGCCCATCTCATTTACACTGTTCCTCCGCGTCTATTTATTCGGTTTTCCGCACGTATCATACTTTCTCTGTCTGTCACTTGTTTTATATTTAAAGTTGATTCTTTCTATAGAAATAAACATATGTATATATATCGATGCGAAAATTAGAAAGAGAAATGACACAGGCTATACTATTCTTTACATGGAATTTTTGTTAGTATTTAGTCCCTTTATAATTTTAATATGTATTTACATTAAAGGATTAGAATAACAGTGATAGGTTGTAAAACTTAACATCAACATGCTACCTTTGAGTGAGAATTAAGCTATCTTAGTGAATTTTCTATGAGGATTATTTTTTGTGCTTATGTGATAGAGGAATCCTCCATATTTTTAAAAGCATAATTTTAACATATACTTATTTATAAAAGGGTTGTGTTGTAATTATATTGTTTAAAGTAAACTTTTATTCGTTTGGTAAAAAATATTATATTTATTGCTACTAATACTCTTTACTTTACTGCTACCGTTTCCAAGTTTATTAAATTAAATTTATAAAAACTTCATTACATTACAAATAAAAACGACTAACATAAATTGTTAAAGTCGAAATTACAAGTTACACTGAAAAGTTATACAATTACCAAACTTAATCTAGAAACTAAAAGCTAATCTTACGGTTCATGAATCAGTTCAAAATGCAATACTAAAGAATAAGAAAATACATGAATTATAAAAGTCACGATTGAGCAGGATAAGATATGGTTAGGAAGTGGTATGTAGAGACTTTGGTCTATTCGATTGTTCATGCTAAACTACATTTGCCCGCGAATTCAATTTGTACGTTTAACACATCCGTCATAACCCCTTGACCTCAGATTTCTATTTGATTTATTAATGTACTTGGGGTGTCGGGGCTATACGGTTTCCTAGCGACAGCTCCCACGAGGCTATTTGTTACAATTTATGGACTTCGATAGTACTTTCAGCGCTTTCGAATTCTTCAACAATGGCATAGTGATGACGAATCGAACGTTAAAGACCAATGAGCTGTTTCAAGTTAGACTCGACCTGGTCATACCCAAGTGGGCCGGCAGTATCGAGATAGGGGTCACGCAGTATTCCTCCAATGATATAAAGACACCGTTCAAAATGAGTCACGCTAAGTGAGTATTGCTTTGCTCAAATCAAAAAGTCAATGTATTTGACGATTTTTGAGAGGTTGACGATGAAATTACTATTGTTCAACAGATCAGGCACTTGGGTCATGGCCGGCGAAGACATTATTCGCAATGGAAGCGTTATAATACCGAAATATATAAGAAATCTCAATGGATTATGTGTGAGTTAGTTTATTATTCAAATTAGCTATTATTCGACGAGCGGTTCCTCGGGAGCGAATGTTCGGAATATATTTGGAAATAATTTTTAAACTTTTCTGTATTTTCAGGTATTACAAACATTGCTTATTATAATATTGATATTGGTTTACGATGAGTTTTGTTTAATGTCAAAAACACAATGTTTTCGTATGCAATAAGCCTTAAGTATTTTTTTAAATGTCTGAATTCCTATTTAAGCTTATTACTGAAATATTTGAAAATACATATAACTACAAAGAGCTGAGTCGTAATTGCTAGCACCCGTAGAAAAGAACTGATGTCAAAAACGCTGTAAATAAATCTACGACTTGTAAGAATTACGATTGGTATTGAATATAGAAATTCAAAATTTAAGCTATGTTTTGCGGTCATATTTAACTATTTATTAATTAAATAACTTTTTAGTATTATATATCTTTTTCAGGAGGGAGACACTGTGGGCGTGATGCGAAAGGACATGGGCATCCTACATTTCTTTGTGAATGGCATCGATCAAGGTCCGGCCGCTTTTAATATACCAGGTCAAGTTTTTGGTGTTATTGGTAAGTAGATTGTATCACTAAGTATTGTAAAACGTTCGCACGTTCCGCAATTGTGTATTGTTATTTAAATTTAATTTATTTTAGATTTATATGGAAGAGTGGCGCAAGCGACGATAGTAGACACCTATTCACCGCCAACAACGTTTTCACCGGAATCGCCAAACTCCTTCGAATCAAATACGACAGTTTATCCGTAAGTTTTTCTTTTATATTCACTTATGTGAGAGAAATTTTAACTTAACTTTATATGTAATCGTTATTTGTTAAAGACATTATAGAAGTTTTCATATGAATCCCTAACTGCATTATGGCAATTAATTTCTCAAATTGGTCCAGTAGTTTTGGAGCCAATTAATGCAAAAAATGAAATCTTTCTTTTTTATATTATCAGTGTTCGATGACAAAGCCCTGCATTTTAACTAGGGTTTTGTAATAATTTCCTTTTTATGAAAATAATTTGAATTGTATTTGTAGGGAAATGTGCTTCCACCGCGTACACGGGCGTAATGCACGCTTGAGTCGTACGCGATTGACTGCGTCACGTACGGCGGTTTACTCGGAGTTCAACGATGCAGTGCTCTTCAGTTCGAGGCCTTTGCGAGAGTGCGACATGTTCGAACTAAGGATAGACTCTATGGTTGATTGCTGGATTGGGAGCTTGGAGATTGGTAAGTAGGGACGAGCGATCTGTCTCTTTTCATCGCAGTGTTTGGCAGATAGGGACGAAAGAGTTTAGTTAAAACAAATAGACTGATTTAGTTTACGTTAGAGGTTTACGTATTACGTCTGCATCTGTTTCAGAAAATATTTATGACATAAGACAAGTAGGTCTTGACCCTAGAATATTGACATACTGAGACTTATATTCTTAAGAATTATCGCATAAGCATATGATGTGACGTCATCTTACAGGTGTGACAGCAATTCGTCCGGATGACCTGGACGATTGCGTCCTAGCGGGAACAGCGACGGACCTGAACTACGACACGTACATTTTGAGCGGCTCAGCAATGATGAAGGATGGAGAGTGTGTGAGAAGTGGATATTCCTTGGATCTGGATACATTGACTGTTGGAAGTCGAGTTGGTGAGTCTTTTATACCTGACAAATTCAACCCTCGATGATCAAATTCAAGAACAATCCAATTTCTGATATTAAAAACCTTTTTTTATTATTTTATCCAATATCTATTTGAAATTCTCGTGTCACAATGTTCGTTCCCATACTTCTCCGAAACGGCTCGACCGATTCTTATGAATTTTTTTATGCATATTCAGTAAGTCTGAGAATCGGCTACTATCTATCTTTCAGACCCCTAAGTGATAATGGGTGTACATCCTAATATTTTTTTTTATTTTTTCGTCAAATTTTTTTGTTTTTATTTTTTTATGATACAACCCTTAATTTTCACCCCTCTTCGATCGACCCCTATATTTTATTATTGATAGTTATTTTCATTGAACAAAAAAATGTTTACTAGAAATTAATATACAAGGCAAAACAAACGTTTGCCGGGTCAGCTAGTAATATATATAAGAATATATAAATAAAAATTTTAGGAAGGCTGTGGTGGGGCGGGGCACCAAAAAGTTGCCCTAGAACAAATTAACCTATTTATCATTTATATAAAGTCTTGTCTTTCTGTTCATTCTATAGTAGATACAAATCCAATAGGTGTTATGTGGCACGCGGATAGAAGCCTCCACTATTACTTAGATGGAATGGATATGGGGAAGGCGTGGTTTGTTCCTCATCTTAACATCTACGCAGTTGTCGACCTTTATGGGCAATGCACTCAGGTAATATAAAATGGTTTTATGTTATAATTATAATTGTTAAACAAGTTTTGGAGTTTTCAAGTTTTTCAGGTTTTTTCAAACCGATACTTTAATATTGTCATAATCGAAGCCTTCGTTACGTCCGCATGGGTCTAATTGAAAATCTTTATAGGCAGGGTCTTTTTTAACCTAAATTCGCTTTGTGGTAATTACAGTGAAAAAAAAAAAAAAACTTGAAAAATCTTGTTAGTTAAACCTCTTGAATCTAGGTGACAATACTACAAAACGAAGAAAGAACATTTAACTACAACGGCTGTCCACTCGCCGATAATCCGTTTTTCGGTCTACCGCGGTTATTGGCCACACCTCCACCGCCATATTGGTAAGTGCCACTTTCTTTTACATACAAATTTATACTTAAAATACGATAAATGCGTTTCTAAATTTTGTAGGAGTTTTTCCGAGTACTACGGAGACAACGTCCGGTTAACTCACGAGTATTCGGTCGCGAAGAGGTTGACTCCCGATCCGATGGGTGCACTAGTCTTCAGTTCCGATCACTTGGCTGTTGGGGAAATGTTTGAGGTAATCTTTTTATTATTTTTAAATCAAAAAACTATTTTTATTTTTAAAGGAATTAAAAAAAACCGAAGAGGAGAATGTCAAGCAAAGCTCCTGGGTCCACCTAACCGATCTCGGTGGTCGAGTTGTCAAATAATTTGCTACATATGTTATATTCTATGGATTGGTCTTGCATCACCAAGAGGATTAATGTATATAACAATGTATTAAATGATAGTAATTATACGATTATTTAATCAATTTGTTCAACACCCCCGGTCATATGCTGTAACGAGTTTGATTTAAACATTCAATTTTTCCTTCAATATCTACTCTTAGACTATATTCATTTAATTGCTAACCCCTTTTCTAAATAAACATCGAACTATCAAAATTACATAAGTACCTATTTCTTGTTGGCTTTTATTTTGACTTTGATTATTTATTATTTGTTCGGCATCCAGTCTACCAACAGATTAGCGTTAGAGCGGTCGTTTAGTTTGTTATTTCTCCTTTTGAAGATAAAAATCACGGAATGCCAAGACAGTTTCGCTGGAGGATTTCGTATGGGAGTGACCGATATAAATATTTTGAACGCACATGTCAATAGAAGCCTGCCCCCATCTATTATATACTTGCCACATTACACCGCTTATGTTGATGGTAAGTTATTAGAAAAATATTTTTATGAATTTGTAGTTTTTAAATGTATATGCCAATTCATTCATTGAATCCAGTTTAATGTCATGGCAGATGTAAAATGATATTGATGTAATAATACCAAGTAAAAAACCAAGTGCGCTACACTCTTTTAAGGCCTGGATCTCAGATTTCTGTATCTGTTATCGGTCTTCTGTGCCTGACACACGCCGTCGACTTTTTGGGTATAAGACATACCGGTTTCCTCGCGATGTCTTCCTTCACCGTACGTGTGAGTGACGACGCGCACATAGACAAAAAGTCCATTGATTCACAGCCGGGGTTCGAACCTACGACCACAGGGATAAGAGTCGCACCCCGAAACCACTAGGCCAACACTGCTCTTAACACTACGTATATGGTATTAAAAACATTATATAACTCGAAATATGTATATTTATAATATAATTTACGGTATATAGGGAGATACATGAAATATTCAAAGCCCGGGACCAGAGAGCAAGATTGGTGCACTGTTTCACCGTCATTCGAGTGGCTGAGACCTGGAGACCGTGTCGGTCTGAAGAAGACTACCGACGGACGTGTATTGGTGTATTACAACTGCGAGTGTATTGATACGGCATTTGAACGGGTTCCTGATGTAAGTTTCTCTATGTTCAACACGCGGTAACACAAAAGACTAATACTAAACACACGTATGTTACTTTAATAAATAATGTCATAAAATAAAGCGTTTTTTTTAAATAAATTGTCTGCAGAACGACAATACTTATTTACGACCTAGCTTAACTAATAAGTAAATTAAAACTAACCTAATGTACTTAAGACAAACGTGCACTCATGCTAATTCAAATGGTTTAGTCGACAGTCGTTTTCAATCTTCTCCCTAGGCCCGTGGTGTCAAGCAGTTGAATAGATTATTGTGGTGCTGACCTCTACATTAAGGTCCCGTTGGAGGTCGTCATTGCGAATGTACATTCAAAATAAAGCGATAAACACATAATTTGTATTGCCGTCCTCTTCACGTTATCCTCTGGCGTGGATTCAATTTAATTTTTCAGTTTTTATAACCGCCACGTATGTTTTGTATATAAATATTTATTACTTAATAACATTTTTAATGTTATTTAAACATTGAGGGTATTACAATCAGTTAATGTTTTATTATTCATTAATTTTGTTGATTAAGAACCCTTTTAGTGCCGAATTTAAAAATAAACATGCATTTTGTTATGTTTAACTACTACAACAATATACTACCGCATTGAATAAACGCTGAGTTGAAGGATCCGAGCATTTTTAAATATTTAAGTCACGTTTGAAGAATATTTCAGAAAGTGTACGTGGTGATGGAGCTATATGGATGCGTTTACAAGATTCAAGCAATAAAACGGGACAATGTTGTCGCCTTGCCGCAAACAAGTAAGTAATTCGTTGCAAGCCTAGCATTTGTTTCTTGGTTAATTATTATTTAAAGACATACAGGTGATCAGCCGGTGTCTGACAAATTTTTATCAATTTTTAGGTTTGAAACATCTTGTTTCAGAAGCAAATGTAAATTGCAAAATACAATTCAATTGGTGTACAATTGTGATTAGAACGAACCACCTCAGGGATGAGAGTCCCACTCTTAAGCCATTACGCCAACACTTCTCTTGTATAGAACATTTCTACATTATGTTTGCCTCAGCCATCATAATCTTTGAACGTTTATCATGTAATTAATAAAATACGTTTAATGTTCAGATGAAATTCCATGTAAGTAATAAGTATTTGTAAACTTAACGATGGGATTGAATTTGCAATAATCAATAGCTTCTATAAAAACATCGATCGATAAATGGTACGTTATTAATATATATTTTATATATCATTCATAAAAAATGAACACACAAACATATAAAATTACAATTGTTTGTAATGCCAGCGTTGATTTGATTAATTTCACCATTTCATTAACCTACAAAAAAAAAGAAGGTTATTGGTTTAATCTTGTATATACATATATATGTGGTATTGTTCATGTAATTTAAAATTGGTATTCCAACTGCTAGGTAAATAATAAATGGTCAATTCAGTTGTCTGGGATCTCAAGACAGCCTAATTTTTTCAAAATTGCTTTATTTTACACTTGACATTGTTTGTCTGACCTACTTTGGTAGACCAAGCGATTGCATAAAATAGTAGGTCAGAAACTCACTCACAATCACGCATACATACAATAATATACATGTCTAGCTGTGCCCGCGGTTTCAGCCACGTTAATTCAATCGTAGCGTAGAATTAACAAGACCATAGTCTTCCTTCATAAACGGACTTACTGTGTTCTAGCCGTGGCTTCTTTCGATGTGCGCATGTGAAGCAAAACATCGTTTGGAAACCCAAAAGTCGACACAGACCGTCGTCACGCAATTCTCTGGCATTATCGTGGCTTTTGTACCTGCTTATTAGACAGAATTTGCTTGCCTGTAGACTCTCATCCCTGAGTTCGTAGGTTCAATCCCCGGTTGTGCACCAATAGACTTTCTTACTATGTGCGTATTTAACATTCGCACAAACGGTGAAGGGAAACATCGTGAGGAAACCGGCTTGCCTTAGACCCAAAAAGTCGCTGGCGTGTTTCAGGCACAGGATCACCTACTTTCCTATTAGATTAGATTTCCTATGACAAATGATCATGAAACAGATATCTGAAGCCTAAACCTATAAAGGTTGTAGCTCCACTGATTTATATTCTATATTAGACCGAAGGAAAAATTATCGAAACAAATATGTAATATCAGAAGACGAAGTGTTTATAGCGCCACTGATCAATTAGTTTCGATTGCTCCACTTATGACTAATTTTGGCGCTGCCATAAATTTGCATCGCTCTATATTATTCAGTTGTACTCAAGTTGCACAATACCGGTATTTTTTGTTGACTTAGCTTTATATAACGCTGCGATCACTGTTGCGTTGTAAGTTTTATTATGGGTTAATTAGTATTATTTGATGATTGAGAAGGATCGCTCGCGTGATAATGTCAAATTTTATTTTTAGTAAATTTGAGGTGGATGATTTTTGACTTCCGTCACATTCGATCGAGTAAATGTGCAGTTTCGTCTTTAGTGTTTTAGTTGTGGTATTGCTTTACTTACCTATTACCAAATACAATTTATATTTTTGCATACCTTGCGGGTGACATCAGAAAAACAGATCATAGATTTCGATCTCATAACTATTGATGACGTTGCGTATTTTGAGGCAAAAGTGAACTAATGGGAAATACGTTATATAAACAATCCACAATGCGATGAAGGATTACTGGGCCTCCTCTGTCCCTCCCTTATTTTTATTTAACCTTAATTTTTATTGTTTAGTAAAGTGAAATTATAATAAAACACAAATTAAACTTACTGTTATAATTCTTTATTAGTTTAATGATTATTATAATATTTCAGTACCAAACGACTCGTTGTACATAAAACCAACTACGGAGGTGGAAGTGGACCTTAACATGGAGAGTTGTACGAGTGAAACGGAAGGCACCTTGTCTACGGTGACCGTGATGCCATTGGAGAGACGGCGGCGGTCACCTTTACCATACACCTTTCACTATGTGCACGGAAAGAATATCAAGCTGTGTAGCTCTGGTAAGTTATAATTGAAACTTTTCATTTGAAAATACTAAAATAATTATTAATATAGAAAAAATACGAATTTATTTTCGTGACTTGCTATCCTCTCATTACACGGATAGATCAATTATATTAAGGTTATGAAAGTACCAGTTTTTGGGGCTCCCAGGACAGTTAAAGATTTGTATTTTTATTTTAGATACAGTAGCCGTGCGTACGTCGGGCTACAACGATGCGATCGCTATCGTAAGCCAGCCCCTCAGAAGGGGCCACAGTTTTAGGGTAAGATACATTTTTCATTATATTGCTGGCGAAAACACCGAAAGATCTTTGGCAGAACAAAAAATCAGGTATAAAATCAGGTTCCTCTAACAATATGAACTACAGGTATATAAAACTGTTTCAGTCTGATGCTTAAAGGCTCCATTTCTTGCAAATAAACTTTGGCATGAACAATGCCGACTTTACAATTTATTTTAACAGTACTATACTATTGCATTATTAATTCCTGTTTTAACTGTTTCCTTTAAAAACATTTTTTTATCTTATTTTTTCTGTCTGCCATAGTTCTTATCACTAAATCTCTTTTACTAACTAGAAGTGCTTGCGAAATTAATCCCAGAATAGATGATTGTAGAAACTAACGAATTCATATTATGTATTCTGAACTTTTAATTAGAAGAAATTGTTTAAATACAACAGAAACAAGTATAAAGTAGAATGGTAAAGATCACATATTGAGAAAATTAATTAAATCTAGATTGTTTCTATTGAAAATGTTTGGTTATAAAATGCGACGAAACCAAACAGATTGGTGAGACCAATGATGAAACATACGTTGGATTGGTCGGACTGGAATTCGGGTATCGCACATACACGAATGTTTGTGTGTTATTCCAACTGTAATATAATTGCGTGCTCCTATTTCACTATGGCTATCGCTAATATAGGTTCAACTTTTTATTATTACAAGATGTTACGAGTGGTGGACAGTTTTTTGCCAGTTCTTCTCGTCTTTGCCCTTGATTTGAGAAATTGATAGTAAATTTTAATCTATAAGCCCTCAATCATTTTTATTTTGTGTTAGAGTTCAGACTCTGTTGACCAATCACAATGAAACTGAATGCGCCGTTGATTCGTCTTACGTTTTACATTCTCACCACTCTATTTGGAAGTCGTATCATAGTCTTTAGAAATCTGAAATATTTATAAAATTATTATAAAAGTGTTGCAAATGACATAAAGTGTGTATGTAGCATTGCGAATTCTATAACTTATATTATAAGCTTGCTATTGCGAATTTTACAATGTATATTATAAGGCCCTTGCGAATTATATGATGTATATTATGAATGTTGAGACGACGAACAAAATGATATTATAAAAATACCCTAAAACTGAAATCATCAAAAGCCAACAAAAAGGGGTAAAAAGGAAGCCTAAGTCCCCGTCAGTATATTGTTGTCAGCCTATTCTATTGTATGATGTGGTGATTTTCAACAAATTAAATAAACATTATTAAAAATATATAAATAAATTGTAACAAGACTAACAGACATATGAAATTAAAATGAAAGAAATATGTATTTGCCTAAAATTTCAGATGATTATTTGTCTAGTGAGATCACCAGTAATAATTTTTTTAACAAATTACACTATGTCTTAATATACTTAGTTCAATAGTTGCTTTGCTAGCTTTGCGAATCACGAGCCAAGATACTAGATGTTATTACAAATTAATTTCATCACTTTCGCGGTTCATATATTATGCTTTGCGAGAATTGCGAAAGTTTTTAGCTTTGCGCTATGTTTGGCTTTGCAAATTTATTTATCGTGGGGTAAACGACGTGGACGAGACATCATCGTCAAGCCACAGTGAGTAAAAAAACATCATATTAAGACTGTCTACTTTAAATATGAATTCTCTTTGTCGGTTTGAATCCTGGGTAGAAAGTTTGGAACGTACTTCTTCGTCTGTAAAAGATCAGAGAACAAGACCCATAAACTTATTGAGAAGCTTTAATGACACGAAATCCAATGAACTAACACGTTCCTGGTCCGTTTTAGTTGATCATTTTAATAAAAGTCACAGATTCTTTGATGGAATCATAACTCCGACATAACAAATTCAAATATAAATTTGATTCTTTTTATGTAAATGAAGTGAAAGTTTTTCTGTTAGAAATTTTCACATTATCAAACTATTTAAATCGTTAATTTTATGCTTACAATTATTTTTAACAGACGAAAATATTATATAACTTAATTAGAACATATTGCGAATTTTTTGTAGTGTCATGCAATGCGAAGTACTTCCGATGGAAAAGCTCTCACTGTGAAGTGTAACGTCGCACATTACTAATAAAATAAAAGCTTCACTGGGATTTTAAATAAATATTCAAATGTTCTTAGTTTTATAAAATATTGCTTTTGTTTTAAGCGTGAAACACTTTTTAGAAATTTTTACAAATTATACGTAATGTGCATATGCAGTTTTTAATATGTAATGTGCTATGTTGACCGCATGTTATTTAACAATTGTATGGTTGGTAGGACGAAATCTTTAATAGCTTTGGTCTGTGCAGTTCCGGATCGACAAGGTGGATGAAGACTGGGAAGGCAGTGTGGCGATAGGGGCCGTGGCGACGCTGCCTACGGACAGTCTGCCGCCAGTTGCGACTCGGCTCGACCCGGCCGCCTGGGTTCTCACCAGCGACCACTTATACGATGGCGCTTGTTATGTGAGTATAACTTGTTACATTGTTGGACAGATATTTGTAATCCTAAAATCGTTGATTTGTGGCCTGATATTTTTCTCAGTTCTCATTTAACATTTTATTATTGTAATTGTAACCTTTAATTTATTGTAATTTATAGTTACGCGCTCCAATGGCTATTGAGCTCGAAGATGTGAATGAGCAGTCGGTTCTGACTCTCCACTTCAGGTTCAACAGTGATCTGGTGGTGGAGTTAGATGGAAGAGTTTTAGCCGTCGTCGGATCTGTCTCGAGACTCAACAGCCATGTATACCCCTTGGTCGATCTCTACGGAAAAGTTTGTCAGGTGACGTTTCTATTAATATAAAAGCATTATTTCTTTACTTTACTCAAACAGCTCAACTGTTAGACACATTAGGTAATAAAACGATAAGTTTATTAAAATATTTATTTTTGCAGGTCTCGGTTTTGCTCCATCCGTATTCTATCATAAGTGGAACGTCCCTAGATTTGCCGATAATCGCTGAAAACAGACGCGAAGAATCTCTAGCGGAGCTCGAACAAGAGCTGGAGAATACAAGTGAAAATAGATTGCAACGTAGAAACCGGGCATTCAGTGAGAACAATTTGATTGACGATTTCGAGATAGCGGGTCCCAGCACGGATGTCGGAAACACCTTATTCGATGACGTCAGAATCGCGCAGAGCAAAGTGATGCATCAGAGTTTAATACTGACCTCGGACAGGGGGCACAGGGTCGTGCAAAAGAGTCACTCCACTCACAATTTCAGTACCGAGGAATTAGACGGACGAGCGAGGGACGCCTGCGATACAAACATTCAGCATAACGACCGCTACCCTGAAGCCGATGTCGATAATCTGGATAACGAAATCATGGACGCCCTCACCTTGGAGACGGGGAACCTTCCAGATCTAACCGAGGAACAGTCTTCGTCGACGGATGACTCCACTCGAAGGGATGACGCTGAAACGTTTTCGGTGGAGAATTTAAATTATTTGAACAGGATTTTGGGCTTGGATCAAGAGAGCGAAGGGAGTCTAGAGGCGGAATGGGAAGCCTCGGGCGAAGGCTGTGAGCATCTGCATTTGGTGCTGAAGTATTGGAACTTTTTGGTGCTGCCTTACCCGGAGTTGAGGAAAGCGGTTTCTTGGGGACAAGTCAAGTGCCACTGCAGCAATTGTGTACCGGATGCTGAGCCGTCGTTCGCCGGTAAGGACCTCAGTATATCAGTTGTCATGTCCTCCGTGGCTTGGCTGCCTGCTTGATTATTAATTTTATTAAAGGTTGGGTCCGCATTGAGCGCATCGACGGTATCGGTGCGGCGACACGTGGCTTCTGGCACATAGTCCGTTCGACACTCGGCGCAGCACAAGCAGTTGAGCGAGCGGTTGCTAAGCGACCGGCCAAGATGTCTTCCGCCCTTCTAACTTCGCCTAGCGACGTGTACGTTCTCACTATACACATATATATATTATTTGCTGCTGTACTTAATAACATTTGTTTGGCAGCGCCAACTAAAGTGTCCAACTGTAAATGAACAGTTCAAAGATCTACTATAATAAATACGATTATTACAAAGATCGGTGTTTATTTGAAGTCCATAATTTCTTCAAATGAATATTTAATAAAATTAAATTTTTCTCTTATGCACTCTTAGTTTATCATAATACAAAATTTATTATTAGATTATACTTAAAATATAGTATTTTAAAATTTCTAGGTGGATGGACGAAGAAGGGAAGCCGCATCATACGGTTTTAGCCATAGAAATCGATATAGAGTAAGTTTAACCGAGATTTTTATATATTAGATAATTTAATTATTTATTAATTATAAATTAATTGCCAGATGCTTCATTACTTGTTACGAGCCACACTCTCGACTTTAAACTATAATTTATATTTCTTTGAATGAGTCGACGTTCGAACACTAACAAAGGTATTATGAATCAGTGTATCCTTCTCTTTCAGGGGCAACGAAGCCGATAAGGACAGGCTGCTAGCCTTTCTCATTTACATGAAGCCTCACATTGTTTTCGTCGACGATAATCCACCGAGCCTCGACGAATGACCGGCGGTGACCGCCGTAACGAGTCCTTCGCAACGTGGTTAAAACGAAAAATGCACCGGATCTTTTGGTATTTGAATGAAATGAAAAGAATTAAAGCAAGACAATTGTCAAAAGCGTTTATGTCCGTAAATGTCATTTACTATATTAATGAAGCTAAATTTAATTTCTTCCGAGTACCAAAAGATTGTATGCTCGAAGAGTTAAGTGCTTAACCGACTTTATTTATTTTTAAATGTTTATTTATTAAAGTCGGATTTTTGTAAAGATTCGAGGCGCGAGGTTAATAGGATCTTTGATTAGACGACGCTTGTGAAAATGTCCAACTGTTTAGTCAATCAATTACTTTAAAATATACACAAAAGTTGTATTTCTTGAATTGACATAAATATTTAGACATTTATAGGTTTTAACTTTGAGTCAAATAGAGTTTCGTGCGCCTTTGAATTGTTCGAATCTGAATGTACTAGATTTTACCCCGTATTCGTCTGTCATTTTAACACACATTCTATTGAAAGCACTAATATTTTGTGATTCACATGAGGACCAGCCTCATTTTATATTAGGATAACGTGACGAAGATATCGATCAAAAATATATACATACTTAGTAATTAATATTAACAATTGAATGTCCGTTTCACGAAAGTTTTACTTTGTTACTAAATTGTATACATTTGGGGCATATTTCTAATCACATTGTGGCCCCAAATGGTCCCTTTCCCTATGGTTAAGGTAATCTATACGAATAGTCGTTATATAACATTAGTCGTTGGCAACACCAACACACTTACTGTGGTTTAGCGATGTGTTGTTTGTTCGTGCTTCCGATTTTAGTTCCAAATACGCCCACGGAGCGCTGCCTAAGTTATATTAATATTCTTGTATGTTATTGCCTTCGTTTCATTAGTGCTAAGGGTGCTGTTCTGTTGGTTAATTTAGAGCTAAAACACACATACTCATTCGTGTATGTGCCATAATCATAAATACTTTTTATATATCCATTAGCACTTTCGCGAAACGGAGAAAGCGTTTTAAAAAATCTCAATGTTCATAGAAAAAATGTAAGCATTAGGTGTTTTAAAGAAATGTCTATATCTGTCGAAAATAGTAGTCAATAGTCGGGTCTTTGACCAAATGTCATATCAAATAATCTCATGCAAGATAAATAGCGAAGTTATGCATTTATTTCTTGGCAATCAAAGCCAGTTCAATTATGATGTATGTCTGCTTCGCCTTATATTTTGCATTACTAAAATCGATTTCGCTTGGCTAAATCACTCGATTGCCCTACGCCGTTAGCGAGTTTCTACTGCAGATTTAAAAGTTAGTGGGTCAGACATTGTAGATATGTTAGACTACCCTACAGTACTCCATTTGATCTCAGTCTAAAGTATTAAACGAATCTTGTCCAAGCAGGCGCATGAAGGGGGGACTTATAAAGTGTATTTAACCTCTGAGCTGAAATCCATCGCAGTATCTCAAGATACTTGTAAGCTTAGTCCTAATGCACTTTATAAATGCCAGCCTTAGAGTCGTCCGTTAAGTGATTTCTAATGGTAGAATAGTTACCCGTCTTTTAGTCAACGACTTATTAATGCTTATGTCTTAACCGTTAATCAGAGAATCTACGGCTGCAAAAAGCAATCATTAAATGTAACATTTGAAACAATTTTATTGAGTAACATTTATTTTAGGAAGTATAATTTCCGTCATATATCCGTCAAGGAAGAGATTAATTAGTGTTAAAACAAATAAAGCAATGTAGATCTTTCCTATTTTATTGTAAAGTTTTAAGTACGACTGAAATTAAATTATTTAAATGATTGTGTTCTTAATTTATGAGTATATATAAATAAATAAATCATTGTACATCAAATATAATACAACATCGTTGACTAGAGAATATTTCTCAGCTATTGCATTTTATTTTCGGCTGAATCTTCCTTGTATTTTTATTATTGTGACAAAATAGCTTTTCTTTTGAATAAGAAAGATGCTGTGATATTTATATTTTGCAAGTTTATATGTATGCTATTTTTAATATTTTAGCAGTTAAGAGGAGTAACTGTTGAGTTTCTTGTCGGTTCTTCTCAGCAGAAGCTACATTCCGAACCGGCAGTAACTACAAAAATATATATTATTTGAATTTATTTGGTTTTTTCTTTATCTCATCATACATTTGTATACTAAGAAAAAAAATGTTGTAGGTACTTTAATTAATCAGTTGTGAAGAAATAGACTTCAATAGACTCTGTTTATATTAAGAAGGTAATGAGCTACTACGATACTAATTTCTTAATAAAAATAGCCCAAATTTGGTATAGTGATTAAAGCTATACATTTGGCTAAGTGACGCAAATAAAATCCTGTCAAAAAGTTTTCAGAGTAGAACAGTAATGTTTTATGGGAACTAAGGGTGCAGACATTTCAGCGTCATCTTTGTGTATTTTTTAGGGCTAGTGCTGGGTTTTTCAGTAGGGCTAGGGTTTTCATTTTAAAAATATTCGCAATCTATGATCTTTAGTTGAAAAATCTACGACTCGCTATAGCTTTTTATGTCGACTGTCTTGAGGCTTGGATATTTATATATAATAACTAGCTGGTGCCCGTGACTTCGTCTGTGCAGGATTAGTATTTCGAGTAGCTTATACGAGTATTAGCGTAGCATAGAAAAAACTACTGACGGAGATACTAAGATATTGACTATTGAGGATAAACATTTCCATCATACATCACTTAATAATAATAAAATAAACCTTTATTCAGACATAAATTTTTTTACATAATTTTAAACTTATACTGTTGTCTTTAGTGAGTCGGTGACACCGGTCAATTGACTCTCCATTTACAATAATAATATCTTCTCTTGCATTCGTCATGGCTTTAGTTTTGCAGGTGTTCATTGTTAGCCCTACCTTACGACTTTTCCTCTCCAGGTCTGTGATCATAATTCTTAGATGCTTTTTGTTTGTAGCAAATAGTATGATGTCATCGGCGAATCGTAGGTGTGTTCGTTGTTCCCCGTTGATGTTTGGTGCGTTCCACTAAGCGCTCACGACGATCAAAATTCTCCTTTAGCCATTCCACATACCGACCGCGGTCGTTGTGGTCACGGCGAAAACGTCACTCATGACGTCATGACTAATGCTCACGCAAGGCTCACAACGACCCATCTAAAGAGGTGAGTCAAAGTGAAAGTTGAGAATAATTCGGCGCAATTTTTGAAATTGTTTTGAAATATGATATTCAAAGCTTAAAGATGGCGACAAGAAAAATTACATTATATGATTCTGAAAGAGAAATTGTAGTAGAAGCTATCGTTTCTGAAGCTGAAGCTGCTCGTGCAGAAAGAGGTAAATATAATTATGCAACATAAGTTTAATACAATTGATTTTAGTTTATATTCAACAGCTTCCATTTGTAATATTTACATGAACGCCCGAAACGCTCCATAATCCATTCCACTTGAGTTAACGATAGTAACATTCACAATCAAGTGGAATGGGGAAATCAGCGGTCGTGAGCGTGAGCGTTGTGAACGCTTAGTGGAACGCACCAGTTTAGTCCGTACCCATCCCATTTTAATTCTCTGAAGATTTTTTTCTAGTACAGCTGTGAATATTATATTATATATTAAGTATATTATATTACATATTATATATTAAGTAATTACTTAATGTGTCATGTGGAGAATGGTGTAATGGTACAAACATTGTGTAAAAAAAATGGCGATTAAAAAGAGTGGCGGAGAGTTTATTGCCAGTTCTTCTCTTCCGTTCTACGCCCTTGATTTGAGAACTGGAAGAAAATGTAAAATTAGAAGCATTAATATGTATTTCTTTATTGACGAGTCGTAAGTGTAAATTATGTTACCTATATGATTAAATGATTTTTTAAACTTTTTTTTTTACATACATTACATACATATGCGTAACTCTAGCGGTTTTGGCAGCGCACGCCAGAATATCTCACAGTTGGTAGATTATTTCCTACTTACTTGATATTCTGTACAATTCACACATTATCTTTACAAATTGTAGTATATGTGTTATTCCGATGTATACGTTAAATTATTGTAAAGTTTCATTACAGGCCATTCAGTAGCTTTATTCGTAAAAGAGTACAAATATCCATCCATACTTACAAACCTTCGCGTTTATAATATTAGTAGGATATCTCATTCAGTCAGTAGATAGATTTAGAGATTAGATTACATATAATAAAAACAAATATTGCGCCTGGCATAAATTGTAAAGCAATGTAAACTTACCTCATGAACAAATTTTCAAAAGGCGTATTTAATTCACTTGTGCATAACATCTTTGTGTGTACTTTTATGAAAATACATAGGAAGCCATTGGCAAACCGGTTAAATGATAATTTCAACTTCAAGAGTTGTTATTGAATTGAAAAAAAAGGATGGAAATTGATGCAAATTTGTTACTAAATGTGCTTACGTTTCTACGATAATATGAATTTATTTACAGCTGCAGAGGTTACTGAACTTTAAAAACGTGTATGTGAATAATTTCTACAGAGTGGCTAAAGAAAAACGCTAAGTATTAAAGGTGCACATTAGCTGTATTGTTAAGGTTATTTACTTTTCAGCTAACGCGAATGAAGGTGTCTGAGAAACCTTTTTGCCTAAAGATGAGTCCGCAACAGTGAGAGATATCCGCAATAAATGAAATAAGTCATGAAATAATGATAAAAGTTCTCTACTATAACGATAACTAAAATTATGTTTCTCAGATTTCTGGGTTCAATCCTTTTGTAAACACAAAACAATTACTAGCCCTTCTCTATTCAAGCTCAAAATTTTGTGTTGTATTCTGCTCCTTAGCTATAGTAAGAAAATATACCTATAATTATGCTAAGTATATATAATGTTCTGTACACCTGCTAGTACTCTAATAGTCGAGGTTCTCGGAGAAGGCAATGTATTGATAGGAATACAAATTAGAGATGCTTCCGGAATTTGAAGCCAACTATAGTGTTTAT